CCTTGTTGGAGTGATAAGCTTTCAAGTACACCGCGTTCCACTGTTGTAGAAGCATGCTCCCCACACCGATGTCTTATCACTTTATGTCATCAAGTATATATGGTTGTTGAACAACACATAATTTATCAACAATTTTTAGATTAGTGTTACCTAGGTTTGGGTAAGCTTGTATGGGATTTGAGACAAAATTCACAAATACTTCAATGAGTTAAATAAATATTTAACTCAAATAATAATTTAATCATGATTATATATATTTTCTATTAATTGGTCTTATTACATAATAATTAATTATGTACAATTATTTTCAAAAATCTCAATATTTTATTTATATGCTCTCACATCTCATAACTTCGATAATTAGTAAATTATCAAATTACCTCTCCATTTTTCAAACATCAAAATCGACTCTCTAACTCTCAAGTCAGACTTCCTCCAACAGGTTATCCCCATACCACCTTCACTAAAATAATCTTCTTTCCTCTGAGTTGCTTACCTTCTCAATCATTGATCTTTATGGGCAATGCATCCACAATCATATTCTTCCTCAGTTGCACATCGTACGTTCAGATAATATGCAACAGATCAGGAATATATTTTTGAAAATGAAACACATGAAAAATATTATGTAGGTTCGAAAGAGACGGTGGCAAAGCCACACTGAAGCAACAACTCTGGTCATCTTAAAAATTTGATAAAAATCAATAAAACAGGAAGTAAGCATCTTAGACTTCAAAGTCTCGTCAATTTGTGTGTGATACCCCACCACCCCTTGGGGTTCTTAGCCACCATGTGTGCTTCCAAAAATACCCCTTTGCTTTCAGAGATGTATCTCCACATGCAACTTTTTTTACTTAACGTTGGTTTTTTTCTGAGCTACATCTCCGGAATGTTTTCGTTTATATAGCTCCAGAACAAATCAGTATACATTTGCGCCAGAGTCTCTTCTCCTCCCTCATTCTTCATTTTTCAACTTCTCACTCTCAAACTCTTCAAACTCTCTCAAACCTCAAAAAAACTTTTTCCACCGAACTTAATTGTTTTCAATCAAGTTCGACAAGGAGCATTCATCTCAACGATCAAGACACTCCAACTCATTCAAAGCTCGATATAATCGGTAAGCTTTCGAGTTTCCGAGGTATTTTTGAGTATTTCCCGTAAACGAGTTAGAATATAGTTTTAGGGGTAGAAATCGTTAGATAGTTTTAGAAAATAGTTTAGAGACAGTGTAGGTATTGTTTGTTGGCCGAAACAGACGATTAGGTGTTGAAGAAACTAGTTTTCTTGGATGGGGGACGCCATTGACGTTGTTGTAGGAGTTGCAGGAAGTTCTGGAGCTACATCTACAAAAAAAATTAACGTTAGGGAAATTTCTGAGATGTAGCTCCGGAACAAGTTTAACTTTCTGAATTCTGGGTTTTTCCGCATGTATACATGCGGAAGTAAAAAAAATATTTTTTCCTTTCCTTTTTTGTTTTTTAAATTATTTGTATCTGATTCTTTTTTATTGGTTATATGTTGCAGACGTTATGGCTGACAAAGAAGACAAATTACGACTTGGACGAGTTTCACAGCATGCCTCTGTGAGACGCGAGCGGAGCCAGGCCATCGTTACCGAGGTCGATACATTTGAGAAACGTATTTCTTCATCAAATGCCCAAGACATTCCCTCGACCTCGTATCTCACCCCATCATCTACTTCTTCATCCCGGAGGCGTCGGGATTCAGCCGAGGGTTCATCACAGGCACCATCCTCCCACACGCCTCGTTGGGATACTCCTGGTTCTTCTCCTGATGTTGATCTGGTCCCACCTCTAGAGGGTGATGATCCACTACCAGAGGATGCTGGTGACGACGACGAGGATGAGCCTGAGGGTTTCCCAGGGGGTCCCTCATATATGTCCTTGCTGACACGGTACGCCGACCATACTGCCAGACATGTCTAGGATAGAGAGGTAACATTACTCATATTGTATCTTTTTTTTCATTGAAATTTTATAATTTGTACCATTGTTTCTTATTAACATTTTTTCTTATTTATGGAAATTTTCAGACTCGTCCTCCGCAAAAGTTCTATGACCACGAGCGGAAGATATTATCTTTGGAGCAGCCACAAGAGCCTTGGTTTCAGGATGTCCTTGCTGCCTTTGGTTTGAAGGACCTTTGTGAGATCGGTTACATCGTGATCCACAATAGGATGCTGATGGCCTTTGCTGAGAGATGGCACCCTGAGACGTCCTCCTTCTATCACCGCACGGCGAGCTCACGATCACACTAGACGACATCTATTGTCTGCTACATATACCGATCAGGGGTACCCTCCTCCATCACGGTTGGATAACGAAGGAGGGTGCGAGAGAGATGTTGGTCGAGGAGCTTGGGGTTGATCCACTTGATGCGCTGGAGGATGTGGATAATGCCATAGGGGCTCATGTTAGGTTCTCCTTTCTCAACCGTAGATTTGGTGAGGCGCTCGTTGCTGCACGTTAGGAAAACGGTGATCCAGCTGAGGTTGAGATACCCAGACAGTGTGTGCTGAGATGTTATCTTCTATTTTTAGTCGGTACTCAGCTATTTGTGGACACTTCTTCCACATATACAGATGTCGCTTAACTGAGGTACTTTTTGAATTCCACACGGATCCTTGAGTACAACTGGGGGGCGGCTATCCTGGCTTACACGTATTCGAGGCTGAGAGAGGGATGTCTAGGAAAGACCATGAATGTGGCAGGGAGTGTGGCACTACTTGTGGTAACAATCTTATATCCTTCGACTTTTTTTCATTTCTTTTCATTCTATATTCGAGATAATGCTTGATCTTAATATTTTTTATTTTCATTTCAGGTTTGAATATTTCAGCACTTTCCCATGATCACCGGGTGGGGTAGTGTACCTGATTACAGAGAGTAGACGTCGTGTGTCGGTGTCTTTCTTCCGCTCAGGGGGAATCGTGTGGTCGATCTATATAGAGTATATCTCAATCACTTGGCTGCTGAGGACACCCGGTACAACGCCTATGCTGATCATCGTGTGACGCGCTCGTTTGACGACATTTCCTTATTCTCAAGATGGTTGGCATGCAGTTCGACTATCACTATTCCATATTTTCCTGAGTCTGTCATGCAGCAGTTCGGCTACACTCAGACCATTCTCTGATACTCATTTGTCTCCGCTCTTCTCGGCTTGACCCGTATGCAGATAGATGATATTTATGCCGACTATCAGAGGCACAGGGTACCTGACGAGGCGCGAGCGACCAAAGTGTTGACGGGCTGGAGCTGCATTGATGACTATATGTGGTTCTTCACCGTATCACACCCCCACACGGTGCTCACTGCCAAGGGGTACCAGACGAGGCGCGAGCGTCTTCACCGTATCACACCCCCACACGGTGCTCACTGCCAAGGGGTACCAGACGAGGCGCGAGCGACCAAAGTGTTGACGGGCTGGAGCTGCATTGATGACTATATGTGGCATTGATGACTATATGTGGTTCTTCACCGTATCACACCCCCACACGGTGCTCACTGCCAAGGGGTCACCGTCCAGAACAACTTATCAGGAGATCTTTGTGCTCACTGCCAAGGGGTCACCGTCCAGAAGGGGTCACCGTCCAGAACAACTTATCAGGAGATCACAACTTATCAGGAGATCTTTGAGGAACAACAATCTCAGCTGAATCACACCCAGGATGTCTTGCCTCGCTGTCGTGAGATAGTGGTAACATCATCGCAATGGAAGGAGGAAAACTTATGTACCGCAAGTATCGATGGGTGGGATCGATGGCCGAGGAGGCAATCAAGCACACAATAGTGACAGTGAAGTTTTTGGTAAACTATATTTTTGATGACATTGATGTACCATATAAAATTTTATAAAATAAAACTTAAGTTATTCATTAAAAAAATTGTTCTATTAAAGTTTTACAAAAGTTGATCTATATTTTTGGTGTACTTAAGTTTTATTAGAACAATTTTTTAATGAAACAATTTTTTTAATAAATTTTTTTTATAAAATTTTATATGATCCATCAATGTCATCAAAAATATAATTCACCAAAAACATTAAACATTAAGAAAAAAAAATACACTCTGCGAAAGCATAGAGCGCATAAAGATGGATAGATCAAGAAACTCATAAAAAATAAGAGGTTTTTAACAAAATTATTTGGCCCTCCTTTAATCATTAACCATTTAAGAATAGCCTTCAATAAATTGTATATTTATCACACAAGTATTACATGACACTTGTATAGGTAAACATTATATCCTTGCTTTATCAAGAAGTTTAACGAACTCAATGAAGAATGGGACTTCAAATACCTATAACCAACTTGAAACATCCAAAACTTGCATTTTCACATGAATTGAAAAACAATGTCAACGTGAAAGGCATTACTCCTATGAAAACCTCAAGAAACTGAATCTTCAAATGTAATGAAAAACAAGGTCAACGTAAAAGGAAATTCTTATGTTGAAACCAGAGAAACAAGGGTTTGTAAAAATTATTAACTAAAATACAAATGATTTAATGACAATTTTTGTAATTTATTAAATATTCATTAAAATATCAAATAAAAATAACATAAGATTATTAAGAAATTGTCTGGATTAATTTATGCTAAACAGCAACTTACCGATATTTAGAGATCCCATTCCAGTCATGGAGTAATCAAATTAAATGTAATGCAACTATGGGACTAAAACTCCCTTCAAACAAACATAAATCTTTTAGGGTTACATGACATTAATTAGAATAGCCAATTCGTTTTAGGGTCACATGACATTATTTAGAATAGCCAATTCGTTTTCACGTTAAAGATGTGATGTGATGAGAATAAATAACTATATCGTCAACAGAAACTGATTATACCAAAATAAACCCCAACTACAATCAACATTAAGTAATACAAAATCTTGAGTCATGAGAGAATTAACAACGAAAACAACAAAAAAGTATCTCAGAACAAATAGCAAAAGAGTAGCAATATCAACCAGAATCTACTTGATCTTTTTCTTTGGCCTCAACTGCAACAAGAAAAAAGGAAAAACAATAATAAATTAAACACCACGGATATTTTCCAAGAAAATAAATCATTGGCTAATATGAATCATAAAACTTACTTGATTGCTGTGTCCACACTTCTTCTTGCGGCAGTTAACAGCCCTAGGATGTAGCCGAGCATAGCATCTGTATAACAAAATCAAAATTAGATCAATGAAAAGTATTTAACCATTGAACTATACAATAACCCCTAAGTAATTAAGTATTAATTGAATTAGGTAAAATGTACCAAATCGAGAAAATCAACTGAAATAAATAAATCCAGTTGATAAAGTAAGAAATGGAAATCACTATAGGGAACACTTATAACCTCAATTGCACTTTCAAAAACAAAAGAGGCTAAGTTATATTCCCACACTCATAACCCTAACAAAAACAATAAGCAAAATTCACAAATTCAATGAATAAAATTAACAAAATCAAAAAATTCAACGAAATGAGATGAGAAATGGTGACTCATACTTGCGGCAAATGGTTTTGTCTTGGTTGTATTTCCTAGCCAGAGCCATCAAAGAAGGTTCGATGATTCCACCGCGAAGCCTGAGAACGAGATGAAGAGTTGATTCCTTCTGGATATTGTAATCGGCCAAGGTGCGTCCATCTTCAAGCTGCTTACCGGCGAAAATCAAACGCTGCTGATCCGGTGGAATACCTGAAATGAAAAGCGCGTTTGATTAAACTACAAATTCAGAATATGAAAAGCGATTTAATAAATTATAAGTACTTTGTTATGTTACCTTCCTTGTCTTGAATCTTAGACTTGACATTGTCGATGGTGTCGCTGCTCTCAACTTCGAGGGTGATGGTTTTCCCGGTTAGGGTTTTCACGAAGATCTGCATTTTGCGGCTTCTTCGGTTCTCTTGAAATTTACAACTGCTATTGATGGTCACGTTTATATACTCATTTTTTAGGGTTTAGTATCGAACAGAATTGGGCTCCTGGGCCTATTATTATTGGACTGTTATTGGGCTTCAAAATTTGTTGGTCCATTTAATTAAATTCTTTATTTTTTATCTAATTAATTAAAGTTGGCTTAAATCCTTATTCATATATTTTTAATTTTTTAATCTCTTTTTTAAAAAATTGATTTTTGCTGGGTTTTTTTAATCTCACTCCATATTTGTGTACGTGGCGTCAAAAAATCTATGTGCCCTAAGTATGTGGCGTCACGTCATTAAATAAAAAATGACAGAGATAAAATTTCAATTTTATTTCTTAATTAAAATTTTTAATTATTAGAAATTACTTTACTTTATATTTTTATTTTTATTTTTAAAAAGTTAATACTAAGAATTTTTTTTTTTTAAATAAAATATTTGGGCATATGGTCTATTTGTCACTTAAATTCAATGAAGATACTGAGGTTTAGTTAACATGACCTTTATAAATATCAAACTTATTTCTCACCAAATTGATGTGGAATTTGAAGGATGGTAAAGCACACTTAAGTTTGAACCATTTTCATGACCATTCCATTCACATAATTGATGATGCTAGTAAACACTAAATGATTAAACTCTCATTCTACACATCATGTCACAGCCAATGAAACATTCATTCAACAGCCAATAAATTTTTTTCATATCTAGCAATGCTCTAGAAGTAGACAAAGAAATATTAGAAATAGAGCATCCTAAAACCAAACAACAATAGAGAAAACACCATTATAAATCATATCATAAAACGTATAAGTAACACTTTTAGTTAGAATATGGTGTGACTTGAACTAACTTGATGGACAACAACTCTACTATATAGGCCGGGAAAATGTTGAAAGCCCATACCTCGTGCTGAAAATTTGTGAACTCACTTGTGAAGTTTCTTCTAAGATTCTAAAACATTTTAAGGTTGAAAATCGTTGTCATACCCCAAATTTTCCCTACCTTTCATTCAAATTCATTTGGTCATATTTTTTATTCATCTGCATACATTTACCTCAATCATCCATTTTAGTTTAGGTCATTCATTCATTTGCATCTACATGTAACATTACTAGGTCAAAAGGTTCATGATGCTTGTAATGATATTGTGAAGGTTATTGGATCAAGATAATAAGTCTTATGGTATAAAGGCCTTTTGGCATGTGTTTTCTTGGAAAAAAGCAATTGGATTGTAGTTGAATTTTCGGTAAAAGTTACCTTTTGAAGGTTGACTTTTGACATAATCATTTGAGTTTCTACTCAAGCATGAATCACGACTATTGCTGCACATCATGAAAAAAGAAGATTTAGAAGTTATTCATGACAAAGTTAACTTTTTGTCAACAAAGTCAAGCATTAAAGATTGACTTTTTTTGTTAACCAAGTACTATAAGGTTTCCTTTTTATGTTAACCGTGTATAGGCTATTAGCTTTTGATCAAGGCATTGCATTTAAAATAAAAGTCAAAGTCAAATTCAAAAAATGAGGGAAAATTTATCCATTTCTTAAGGAACAAGTAACAACTTACAAGGCACAAGTCAAAGCTACATTTCAAAAGTCAAAAGTACATCTCAACATCCAAAAATACAAACAAAAAAAAACACATTGCACAATTAAAAACTACATGAAAAAATCTAAGTTTGACCTACAGTTGACTTTTGATCAAACAGTTGACCAAAGTCTGGCCCTAACCCTAAGATGACCCAAAACCTATTTCCAAGTCATTTTCAAACATCTACGTTCATCTTCAAGCAATTACACCATTAGCCTCCATGATCATTCATCTTCAAGTATGGCTTAGAACTTCATGACAAATCACTTGACTTGATGGCTGAACTTGCATTAGTACGAGTCATCCAATGCTCAGACATGCAACATACCAACCTACATACATTAAAATAGCATCAGCTTCCTATAAAAGATATCTATCAAGTACACTTATGTAATTCCCCCAGGCATATTCCATAGCTATTAACACGTACATTATCTAAATCAACATATACATTATCCAAGCCCAACATAGTTCAATGCAAAAGTCTAGGCAATTAACATTTAGTTTCCAACTCAACTGATAGTGCTTCTAACATCTAACAGCCTAGCATAAAATCTAAGACTTCAATCATGAATGTACATACACCACCACTATGCTACAGTAGCGCAAAAAATAGATTCATAACATCTCAAATGCATCATGTTTCAACATAAGTTATACCATAATATCCGGTTTCAACATATATAAGGCCATGCCTAAGTTCAAATCAAAATAATGTGAATTCAAAGCCAAACATACATACAATTCAATCTATATTCACAAGCCAAATGTGAACTCAAAATGAGACTAAATCTGGTCCAAATATCCTTGAAATTCACAGTTAAATTAAAGTTATATACAACTCAATCCACAAGCATAAATCAATTTCAGATTCCACTTCAAAAGCATTGGAAACTCGGTTAACTACAGATGAACATTCAAAGAAAATGCAAACTTTCAGCTCTAATTTTAAACAGATCCATAACATTTCAATAAGCACATACATGGCAATGCAAAAAGGGCGACGGATTATGCATGATCCAATGTACATCAACACCATTCAAGCCATGACAATGCACCAAGACACACTTCAAAACTTAACCTCAAACCCTAACTAACTAACTAACTAACAGTCCACTAACTCACCTTTAACCCACCTCAAGTTAGTTACAAACTAACTGTTAACTTCCAACAAACTCTATAACAACCTAATTAAATATCAACTTTAATTAGTTAGCCAATTTTAACTAGTATTCAACAACCTGCCCTAACCATTAACTAACTGCCCAAGTTAGTTGTGCACTTTTTCCCACCAAAACAAATTTCAAATCCTAACAACCTAACTACCAAACTAACACATTGTCATCACTATTTTTCAACTAAAATTATTGTAAAACTAACACAAATCTTCTCTTTTCTCACACTCTAAAGAACCAAATCCTAACTAACTTTAGAACTATTTTCCACCTTTGATTAGTATGGTACTTGGATCACTATCCAAGGGCTAAAAATCACTCTCTTCTAATTGTTTTCTAACGGAATTTCCCTCCAATTTTCCTCACACACTTATCTACATAAACCTACCCTTCATCATCATCATCATCATCATCGTCCATCATTTACCCTATTGTTACTCTGTCAATTTTAAAAGGAAATATTGATTCAAAACGCAAAGAAAAATAAAAAAAATTCCCTTTAGTTCATCGTTACGAATGAAGCATGATCAATAATGAAATAATTACCTGTTGTGATGATTAATCAATTTTATGCAAATCTAGATTAATGATCACAGGATTTCACAAACCGATTTTCACCAACTAACTAAGCTTCTACAAACAGGCTCTATTTATAGAATCACCTGTGTGAGAAAATAAGCTGAAAAAGCTCAACTTAAGTGAACCAAATAACAATAATAATAACAATATTATATTATTATAATAACTACTATTATAACAAATATATTTTATTATTATATTATAATAAATATTATTATAATAACTACTATTATAACAAATATATTTTATTATTATATTATAATAAATATTATTATTATAACGGTTATTATAGTAATAATAATAATAGTAATAATAATAATAATAATAATAATAATAATAATAATAATAATAATAATAATAATAATAATAACTATTACTATTATTATATTACATTGTGCTCCATGTTCCACTTAAGTACATTGTACATTTTGGTGATTCATAATTTTCTCAAATACAATGTACCTTATAGTGTTCCTTATTTATTTTATCTCTCATCAATTTATCGTTATGTGTGTGACCTTGTAGGTTCTTATGACGTTGGAAATTATATTAAACCAAACATTCAATATAATAAGCAGTGCGCAGTATCTAGCAACACATCACTACTACCTAAATTACGTAAAATGTCATGTGATCTGAAAAAAATCTTTCCCAATGATAATGTTCTTGTGTACAATTTCCTTTGTTCCCTCATGTCTATATTGAACACAAGGCGTAAACTGTGTCACCCTTGTCTAGTTCAATATTGGGCCCTTAGACATTTGTCATATTACACATGATGAGCATATTCCATTTATGTAACTCATGCCTTTCAGTGTGTTTTGTGAAGTATCCATCAACTGTCTTTATGGTCATCTAGTTACAGACAATATTTGATCAACAATAAAGCACTCGACTCCACATTTAGGGCAATAGTGGTTTCAGGTTGAAGGGTGGTATACACGCATATTACTATGAGAATAACTTATGACACATTTGCATAACTTTCTATATAGTATTCTCATAGTGGGTCAATCTAGTATAAATATTACTCTTAATATGCATACCTATGCGAAGACTTTATAACTTTTTATCCATGATCCATGAGATGTGATTGTCTATCAATCCTTATGATTAAGTCACACTTATCATTTCATTAAACAGACTAGTTATTTCAGGGACTTTATCATTTTTGAAAAAATAAACATAATAAAGAAATGTTTTCTTAATTATTAAAAAATATTTTGAGACAAGTACCAAAACTATTGACCTCTAGGTCTTACAACAACAATCTCCCACTAGCATTAGGGCCAACCAGGCATACCCCTAATGCCCATAGATCTAGTATGGTTGTCATGCTTCTACTGCGCAAGAGGCTTTGTCACTAGGTCAGCAATATTTTCAAGTGTTGGTACTCTGCATATCTTTACATATCATATATTTATAATATCTCGAATGAGGTGGTATCTTCTAAGTATGTGTTTGAATCATTGGTGAGATCTAGGCTCCTTAGCTTGTGCGATAACACCATTGTTATCATAATAAAGATCAATGAGATCCATAATGCTAGGGTTTAGAATGAATATATCAAGAATGAATATACATTCCTTCTTAAGTACTTAAGGATATTCTTG